TATATATATATATATATATATATTAGATAACTTGTAATAAACTTTTTCCTGTGGGGTTTATTAGTATGTTATATTAAGTATTAGATAATGGTTGGGGAATTAGAAGTATTAACTAGATTGTTGCAATAATTTAATTATATTTAGATGTATGAATATGTGAATGTACCACGAGATTTGAACTAATATTATGCACAATAATACCTTTTGATTTTAGTATCATAACTTTACGAGAGTAAATTGGAAATTTGGAATGGACGATAATTTGATTAAACCTTGGGTTGTAAAATATATTTTTAAGTTTGATTAGTTAGTTGTTTGAAATAATGAATCATCGTTGTTTGAATGGATTACAAGTTATCAAATTGTTTGATATTAGTTAACTATTTAATTTAGTAATTTTACTAAGTGATTATAAATTAGTAAATTTGAATTGCATATTAATTGAATTTCTTAGCTCACCCATACTTGTGTGTTTGCTTGTCAGTGTATGTACCTGTGCAATGATTGTACAACGTATGTTATATGGAAGCCTAGATAGGAACACAGACATTGCAGGAGTAATAAGATTGACGAGAGAGATATTTGAGAATCGAAGTTTATTTAAAGTTTATCCATTTTATGTAAAGAATCGTATTAAACTTTTTACGTTGGTGATAGATTATATATTGAAATTGTAAAAGTTTTATTTCTTTGGAAAATTTATTAGAGACATGTGTATTTAACATGATTTTGAAGCGTTTTGTAGTCGTATACTTTCATATTTAATCTGAGTTATAAATATTGAATAACCATGATGAGGAGTTTTGTAGTCGTATACTTTCATATTTAATCTTTGATTTATAAGTATTGAATAACCATGATGAGGAATATGAAAGAAATTTCCTTTACAGACCTTAATCGATTAAAATAAAATGATTCTATTCATGAATGTGAAAATTTTAAATTTTTACACATTTTTGTGAAATCTAAATTAGCGGTATTACATTGGTTCCATAACAAAGTTAGTCTATTTGGTCATATGTTATACATATATATGAAATATCTGTTTTCAATTGGTGCCTAAGTTTATTCAGTTTCACTATTTAGTGTTTATTTGAAACAAGTTCAGTTGAACTTAATGGCAACCCATCCTTCCCTTTCCTTATATGTTAGTAATTTACTGCACAAGTTTTTTAAACCCTTTTTATATTTTCCTGTTTCCTTATCTTACCTTTTAGTTGCGTACACTATCAGCTTTAACTGCGATTTCATGAAAACAAAGTAGAACAGTCACATTATCATATTTATGAAATATAGTCTCTCTGGAATTCCTTGGTAAATTGCGTGAGGGTATTAGTTATTATGATGAAAGGTTTATAAAACTTGATCCCATGTTGCATTTGCATTTAAACTTTACGTCTTTTGATTGGTCTTGGTGTGTGCAAGTTTCAGATGAATGATCATTCTTTTTTATTTGAAAAATCTTTACTTCTCGGTATATTCTACTACTGCTTTTGAGGTTAAATTCACACAGGTTAAGGTGCAACTTAACCAAATAATTAAAGGGAACAACATATGCTGCATTCCTGAACTTGTCCTAAGAAATCCATATTTATCGGGCTATTAATTGGAATATTATTCATTCAGGTGATGAATTTGATTTGGATGTCTTGTGTCTTTCTGCTTGGGTAATGAGATCAGTCAAGTTTGCCTCAGTAGGCAGAGATGGACATTGCTGCTCTTTTAACCTCTGCTGGAATTAATATTGCCGTGTGCGTGGTGCTCTTTTCACTCTATTCAATATTAAGAAAACAGCCCAGCAATGTCAATGTGTACTTTGGAAAAAGGTTAGCTTCCAGGTGTTCAAAAAGCCGGGATCTTTGTTTGGATAGATTTGTTCCCTCTCCTACTTGGGTAATGAAAGCATGGGAAACAACTCAAGAGGAAATGTTGACTACCTGTGGCTTGGATGCTGTGGTTTTTAGCAGGATGGTTGTGTTCAGGTTGCTCAATCATTTTAAAATTGAAACTTTTCAAGCTGCATGTCTTATACTAAGGCAGACTAAATAAAGAAATGCTTAAATTATAGTTTTAATCTGAAATCCACAAGATGCCCTCACCTACCTACAGAGTGAAGATGTCTTAGTCTTAAATAAGTAGAATTGAATAGATGTTACATTGTTAGGCTCAACCATTATGATATTAGGCCTGGCATTATGCACCACAAAACTCTTTGATCAATATTTGTTAAAATGCCGAATGTGAGAACAACACTTTTATGATTTGTTTGTCTTTGAAATAAATGAAGATAAACACTTTGTGCAATAATAACTGTGATGGATACCAAAAATATAGATATAGAACATAGCACAATAGATGATGGAAAGGTATATGATATTATTGAAAAGATAGGAGAAACAAAAGGAATGAGACTTCCATTCCTAGAGCATAGCTTCTATACAAAGAAATCAAGATGATTCTCTATACCCTGAACCTTCTTCTCTCCCTCTTCTTTCTCTTTCTCAACATCCCCTTATGAAGGAATTCTTCTTTCTCTCACCATAACAACCCCTAACAGCCTTAAGGGATTGACCCTACTACTCCTGCCAGTTTAGCATCCTTGAATTATGCCTTTCTTCCTTCTTCTCACGTACACTTTCCACTTAGTAGGATCTGTATTCTCTCACTAAGAATGGACCAATGGTTCTTTGGGCTTCATCTCTATACGGGTCTCATCATTGCCTTCACCTGCAACAACAGTCTTGTCCTCAAGACTAAAAGTGGGAAAAGGGCTCCTCAACACAATCTCATCTTCCCAAGTGGCCTCATCAACCGACCTTCCACGAGCCATTCATTGACTCTATCTCGAGCTTTCCAAATGCTACGAATAGCCAATATCGCTATGGTTCCCAGTGCATTTCATTGTCTCCCTCCAATCGTGTTGGTAATTTAGGTTGCATAGAATAATTGGCCACTGCCTTCTTCAATAAAGAAACACGAAAAACAGGATGAATTCTTGAAGTTTGTGGAAGCTTTAGTCTATAAGCCACAACCCTAATTTGCTCCAAGATTTCAAAAGGTCCATAATATCTTGCAGACAGTTTAGGACAAATTCTTGTCATCACTGAATGTTGACGGCGAGGTTTCAGCTTCAAAAATACCCATTCCTCCACCTTGAAACTTCTATCCTTCCAGTGTTCATTCGCTTGAGCTTTCATCCTAACTTGAGCATGTGTAGATGATTTTTTAATTGTCTCAAAGCCTCATCATAGTTCAACAATTCCCTCTGGACTGATTCTAATTGAACTTCACCTTGGACACAACAAAACCAAAATAGAAGGTTTGCGACTATATACAATTTCAAAAGGTGATGTGGTTATGGAACATGGTATGTAGCATTGTACCATTACTCTGGCCATGGAATCCAGTGCACCGACTCTATGGAATCCAGTGCACCGACTCTTTTGGTTCATCATAAATGAAACAACATATGTAGGTCTCAACACAACGATTTACAACCTCCGTTCCATCTGTTTGCGGATAGTAAGCAATACTCATTTTTAAAGTAGTCCTCTGTATTCTAAAGAATTCCTTCCATAATTGGGTCATAAACAAAGGATCATGGTCGCTTATCACTGAGTTGGGAACACCGTGCAAACAAACTATCTCCTTCACAAACACATTTGCAATTAATTTGGCTGTGTAAGGGTGTTTTCGAGGAGTAAAATGACCACACTTACTCAAATCGTCAATCACCACAATGATTGCTTCAAAACCTCTTGATTTTGGAAGTCTTCTAATAAAATCCAGCGAAATATCTTCCCAAACACGGTCTGGAATGGGTAAGGGCTGTTGTAAACCCCAGGGACAATAGTTAAGTATTTCTGCCTTTGACAAATATCACAAGTCTTCACAAATTGTTGAACTTTTGCTTTCATCCTTTCTAGTACATATTTTCTGCAAGTCTCCTATAGGTTCTAAAAAAACCTTAGTGATCACCTTAGGGTGTGGAATGATACTCCTGCAACAAAACTGAAATCCAAGTAGATTTTTCAGAAAGCACCAATCTACCATTATAAATAAAAACTCCTTGTTGATAACTTTATCCAGGGTGAACTTGAGGATCCACTTTCACTTCCTCAATAATTTTCTTCAACTTCTCATCTCAATGAACCTCAACAATTAATGATTGTGAGTCTACCCACATTGGAAAATACACCATTGAACACAATTCACCTTCTTCCATGCTCCTTGATAGAGCATCTGCACCACGATTCTCATAACCTGGTTGATAAATTATGTCAAAGCTATATCACAATAGCTTTGCTAACCAATTTTGTGGCTTCCAGTCGTCACATGTTGCAAAGTTGCTTTAGACTCTTCTGGTCAGTGTACACACGAAACCTCCATCCTAACAAATATGGATGCCAATGCTGTATAGATAAAGCAAGGGCCATTAATTTCTTCTCATACACAGACTTGGCCCAATTCCTACTTCCCAAAGCCTTGCTGAAAAAAGCTATTAGGCGTTCCTGTTGCATTAAGATAGCTCCACCCCTAACACCGGAGGCATCACACTCTATTTCAAACGGTTGATTGAAATCAGGAAGTGCCAACACTATGGTTGTCGTAAAGGCTTGTTGAGCACGTTAATTCCAGCAAAATGCATCTTTCTTCGTCAAATCCGTGAGGTGCTTGGCCACTTTCCCATATTCCTTAATGAACTTTCGATAACAACCTGTTAACCCAAGAAGCCACGCATACCTTTTACACTTATTTTGAATTGGCCACTCCTATACACTCAGAACCTTTACTAGGTCCACTCCTACGCCTTCTTGGGAAATAATATGTCTTAAGTCTTCCACACTTTTTTGACCAAATAAGCATTTCTTTTTATTAGTCTAGAGATTCCACCAATTTATGAGAAATAAAGTTGTGGGTTACCCCATTATCAACCAAAATCAGAATAGGAATTTCTTTAATTTTATCTTTCAATTTCAGAGTGCGGGCATGAGTGGGCTTATCCTTCACTAAACTTTGGAGGCTTAAAATGCTTCAGTTTCCTTCAATTACGTCATCGTCAGTCTAGTCACCCTCAAGTGTTGATATGTCAACCTCCGCTTCGTTTTGCGTATTGCCATCCTCCAATATCATTATTTTTATCTGCTTATCTGGACACGTGTGGGAAGGATGGTAGGGCCCATCACACTTAAAACATACGCCTTTCTGCCTTCTATCAATTAGCTTTTGATAGGGTAAATGTCTTATGCCCTTATCACGTGGCCCATGTCTTCCTTTGTCTACCATCTCATTCTTTGGGTCTGGCCAATTAGATGTACCCCCTCCAAGGTTTCTCTTAGCATCCCTCCACTCGTAAATTACTTTTCCCTCCAAGGATTCTCCCCAGCCTCCATATCTCTCCAATAGAGCTTCCTTCAATTGTTCCCAAGACAAATCTTCATTGTCATTCACCAAAGAATTGAAGAAATAATTGGTGCCAAATTGACCTTCACCTCCTCACTAGTTTCCTGGATTTTGAAATAAATTTCAGCTCTAGTATCCAGCTAGCAGGATCATCACCGTTAAACAAGGGCCACTTGATCTTCTTGGCTAATTGTCAGAATTCCTCCATTGCATCCCGCTGAAGGGGCACAGTCCAGACCCTAAAACACTCTTGTTTTCGTTCTTCTTCTTTGAGCTCATTGACTTGCCTTCTTCCTTCATTCTTTTTTGCGATAGGCTAAGGGAGATTGCCTCCATCAACTTCGTTTGTACCTCTGCCTGAGCCTTAAGCTCCTCAACCGACACTCTTATTTGTGACACTTCAGCCTCCAACAAGTTCACTTGTGACTCGATGTTATCCTCATGTGCTAATTCCTCGATCTGTGCGATGGTTTTCTTCTTCCTCCCTTTTGGCATCCACCACTAGCACAAATCCGACAGTTGAGACCAAATTGATGGATACAAAAAATACAGTAATAGAACAGAGCACAATAGGTGATAGAAAGGTATATGATATTATTGAAAAGATAGGAAAAACAAAAGGAGTGAGACTCCAAATCCCAGAGCAAAGCTTCTATATAGAGAAATCAAGATCTCTATACCGAAAACCTTCTCTTCCCCTTCTCTCTCTCTCAACATCCCCCTATAACGAAATTTCTCTTTCTCTCACCGTAATAACCCTGACAATAAGAGGGATAAAAGAATTTTATTAATAATTTTATTTAAATTTTATTTTATTAATTTTTGAGTTAAGTAATATTTAATTTCATTTGAAGGGATAGAATAGAGAGATTTTTATTTATGTAAGTATATATTATTTTATAATAAATTAAGCAGATTTTATTTTTAAGATAATTGATATTTTATTTTTATTTTTTATAACATTATAAATATTATGATTATTTAAAGTCAATGTTGAATGATAAATAATAAGATTCAATTTAAAAAAAATATTTGAGTGTTTGTGAGATTTTCCCAACAGGGATTGACCCTACTGCCCTTGCCAGCTCAACATCCTTGCATTACGCCTTTCTTCATTCTCACTTACACTTTCCACTTGGTAGGGTCCGTATTCTCCCAATAAGAATGGACCAATGGTTCTTTGGGCTTTATCTCTATATTGGCCTCATCAAAATGGAACTGAGACTTGTGCTCACAGAAGAGATACTATGTTGACTATAAAATATGCTTAATTGATATAGGTGATTCAATTTGAGTTATCCAGTCACCAAAGTACCTTTTGGTAATTATGGTCCTTCTTGGAGTTTTACTGTCTTTATTAGTTTCAGTTTTGTAAATTTACTTGTTTGAGTTTGATGCCCTCTATGGAATTTTACCGTTTTTATTATTTTCTGTATGGTAAATTTACTTGTTTGGGTTTGATGAGTTTGCTTTCTGCACTATTTTATGTTACTGAATTTAAAACCATGGGCTAATATCCACTTAAAAGTACATAAAAATGAAGTGGAAACTAATTTTGTTGTCCATTTTTGTGGCTCTAGTGCTTTACTAACTCTTGGTATCAATTTTCCTCTTTCAGTATTAGAGTATTTTCTGTTGCTGCTGTCATCTGCACTATTCTAGTGCTTCCAGTGAATTATTATGGTCGGGACAGAAAACATAAGAATATACCTTTTGAGTCACTGGAAGTATTTACTATTGAGAATGTTAAAGAAGGATCCGAGTGGTATGAAGCAGTTACTTTTATTCTAAATGGGATTTTCCATCATGTCGATAGTCAATATTGTGTTGAAGCTGAGAAACAACGAATAAACAACAGAAAAAAGAAAGTGATTTCTTGATCTGATCACTTCTGTCAAGGCTGTGATTATGTTATTTCAAGTTATTTTTAATAACTAATGATGTCTCTCATAATTGAAGCAAATTAAGTTTTGTTATTAAGAAAAAAAGAGAGTTCAAGTCTAACTCAAAATCGACTTCCTAACATGAAATTTATTCTCACTTATATGTCAGGTTATACTTTGTTGTGAGTTCTAAAACCACTTTAAAATAATTTTTTTCTATTTAGAATCTTTCTTTGTATATGACAAAATTGTTTTAAATCTTCTTTTGGGCATGACTAATTAACATAATGTTAAATCTTAATGAAAATATGAAAGATGTTAAAAAAATTTCCCCGTAAGACCTTAATTTCACATCTTATAAAATCTTTCAAACTTTAATCAAGCTTAAATATTTTTTTTTTACGTGATAGTTTTTCAAACACTGGGTAACAAATAAAGAGTAGATAAAAGAAAATTGGCAATAGGAGTGAATTTACTTAACTTCAGAAAAAATTTTGTTGCCTCAAAATCTAAAATATACATTTTAAATTAAAATGATTAGTAAAATTAGATCTTATTTATTATTTGATAGCTTTACCTTTTTCTCCTAACAGCAACAGGAAAGGTAGAATCATGCTTATTATTTATTTTCACTTCAAGTTTTAGATGATATTGTGTGAATAGTTAATGATTTCAATCAGGAATATTCCTACAAACTGCTTACTTATTGATTGCATTTATTCTTTTGCTTGATGTCAGGCTTTGGGCTCATTGTCTCGCATTATACATCATAACATTAACAGCTTGTACTCTTCTTTACATTGTAAGGAGTTGTGACTAGCGACATTAAATCGCAAGATTAATTTCTTTATCTGTTTTCAGAGTGAACTATGCTTTACTTTTCAAATATTTAAATATTGACTAATGAAGTGGAAATAATATTCAGGAATACAAAAGCATTACTAATTTGCGGCTACTACATATTACCTCATCGCAGCCAAATCCTAGTCATTTTGCAATTCTTGTCAGAGGAATACCTTGGTCTTCAGATCAATCATACTGCGAAACAGTGAAAAAGTTTTTTTCATTCTATCACCCCTCAACATATTTGTCGCACCAAATTGTGTATAAGTCTGGTTCAGTCCAGAAACTGAAGGTTTGTCTCTTTTTTAATTTTTGCTATTTTTATGGTGTTTACAAAATCTACATTAATATTTCTGGAGTTTTGTGAGAATGCCATTTTAGTAGTAAAGGGAAAGTTTGATTAAGGGAAAATGGGAGAAAAAAGTACTTATAAGTTGATCACTTCTAGTTCTATTGGCTTAATACTAGTGCTCCTCGTAAACTTACGATTAGGATTGTTTTCCCGCACATAATTGAATGAATACAAGTGTTTTTCTAGAACTTCACCACAAATAGTAGTCTACTTATATATTTTAGATCCTTCTAGGTACTACTCTAGGCTTACATTATAAAGAGATATTTTTAGAATATGTCTTTTGAATATTCTAAACATATATAGAAATTGGGCTTTTTATTATGAAAACTAAGGTCCAAAATCAAGTTCATATTCCAAAATCATGGGTTGTCACATATTCTAGTAATGTGTCCTTTCTCGCAATGCACTCTAATGTTGTAGCAGTGCGTATCAATGTTCTTACATCATGGTAAACTGAAATGAGTTTTGTGACAAAAGATACAGTTGACTTGTTGTCCATCAAAATATTGGTTTACTCTTCTTGTGATGAACTCAACTCCTTTACGAGATTTTGCATCTAAATTGCATGACAAACACACGAGGTAGCAACCACATACTACAATTCACATGTGGTAAGAGTAATGATGATCGATTACTTCTTTTGACATCCATGTGAAGATAATGTCTCCCATGTAAAGCACAAAGCCAATTTTCCTCTTGTGATCATCCATATCTCTTCTCCAATAACTGATCAGTGCATAAAAGAAGCCTGTAATCATTAGAGAATAGTACAAGCCAGAATTTATTGTTCCTTTATCCTCTTTTGTCGTGTTATAGTTGGTTGTTCGATCCTTTATGTAACGTAAGGTTCAACTTAAGTTCTTGAAAAGTGTGGGATCCACTCTATTATGTATCTTTAGCTTCATTTCACATTCTGTTGGTGTATCGACCAAACTACTGTCATCTATCTTGTGCTTTTTAATCGTCTCCTTGCATAGCTTTTATGAGTAATGAAAATGTCTTTGTTTTTTTGTTGCTTTACTTCAAACTCTTTTGTCACTTTTGCATAGCTTTCTTGAGTGATACATACAGATGTCTCTGTTTTCTTACTTTACTTCAAACTCTTCTGCATCTCTTTCTTAAATTTATTGAATGTGTTTGGATTGCTACGTTTAAAGATAAAATTATCTACATTGAACCACACAATTAAAACATCATTATTTTGATCTTATATAAATTGCTTCAAATATCTTCTCAAAATATAGTCATCTAATCCTTGTTAGACTGAAAAAAAGAACCTTGTCTCTCTGTCTGGGGTCTTTCAACCTATATCCCTTTGAGTTTGAGAGAGATTATCCTCATTTTTGGTTCAATGTGGTCTCTCATAACTATCTCCTGAACATCTTATGCACCAAGAAGAGTCTTCATCTTATAACGACCCAATCGTCAATAGTTGTTCTTGTTGAGAATTGGGACTAGGAATGGAACCATGATGCTACATGTCATCTCTTTAGATAGGGTCTTCAAGCTCTAATGTCAATTTGTTGAAATGATATTTTAGTAATGAAGGGAACATTTGAAGAATGTGAAGACTAGAATTTTGGATAGAATATTTTAGTCATATTTGATCACTTCAAGGTTTTGTGGACTTGACACAAACTCTAGGACAACCACCCTATTTATACTAGTGGTTCCTGATAAACCTGTAGTCAGGATTTTGCCAACACGTACTTAATCTAACAAGTGCCTTTCTAGACGTTCTCCACAAGTACTAGCATATCTACATACTACCCTAAAATGATATCCTAAAGAGATCCTTTGTAGAACATGCTTCTAAAATGTCTCTCTAGAACATGTTAAGCATTCTTAGGATTTTAGGCTTTTTGTTAAGACAACTAAGGCCCAAAATCAAGTTTATATTTCAACAGTTTTTTTTCTCTATTTTAATGTCATACATAAATATATTCATAACAGTCAATGCTAGTCAAGAATTCCATTATTTTGTTCAAGGTGAATTAACCTGCATCAAGGCTTATGGAAATAAGTTTCTGTTTTTCTTTAATTTTGGAATTCATGCTTTGCAATTTATCTGCTTATTTGGTTGAACTTTTTCCTGTACTTCTTTTTCTTAATGTTTCAAATCCTAGGAACTTTTAGTTGAGACGGGTTTGCTTTCTTTTCAATATTTTGATATACGCCTCTTTTTGCATTTTGATGTCCATTTTGAGATGATAAAAATATCATCAAAGCCTTTCAAGGCTATCCAATACAGAAGTCGTTATAAATTTATGCATAGAATTATCAGGAATAAACTCTTTCAAGAGTTTAAGCTATTGGATTAAGACTTATGAATGATCTTATATTTAAGGTGCCCCCATCAAACCAAGAGTCCTGGAAGTGGAACTACTAAAATTCTATTTTTGTTTTGAAGAATTGAAGAAGCAATTGTGGACACATGGTCATTGTTTCTATAGTATTATGACCAATGCTCTAAAAAACTCAAGTTATTAAATGAAGGCTTATAAATAGTTTTCGTGGTCCGAATTATTGAATGCTTTTCATGGTCATATTTACCTGTGGCATGCTTGAGTTCCTGAATTTTATCATGGTCATAATTATTGAATTTCATTTTTACGAAGTTAGTGGGATTTCTTAATATCTATGACATCTTTCCCTATTTCCCTATTTGACGGGGTAATTAGGCATTTATTTATGATTCAAGAAGTACAAGTGCGAAATATATATCACTTGTGGCCATGGCTTGTTATATATCACTTGTGGTCTTAAGAATCTTTCAAAAATAATATAAGCTTTTCAAACATTCTTATCTCTGTTGACATTACCGTTGTTTAAACTTTTGTTTTTTTTAATCTTTTTCTGCTAGGATGATGCAGAATATATGTGTAAAATGCTCAGTTCTGGTTGTGGTTCAATGGAACAGACGTGTAAGCCAAGTTTTGCGCAATGTTACTTTTGTGGAGGATCCACTAATTCTTTTAAGATTATTTCTAATGAAACTGATAGTATACACGGAAGAACAGGCTACTCTGACGTGCATTTAAATGCAAGAAAAAAGGTCAATTTCTGGCTGATTTGATTTATATAATTACAATATTAATGTGTTAAGGCGTTTCATTTTTGTGATCTAGTGAACTCCCTTGATAAGAATTTTCTTGATCTAATATGAACATGTGAAACCTCTTTAAACTCTATTTGATTTTTAATGATTCACTTATTATTTTCTCTTCTGCGGCACTGTCCAATTTAAACCTCTGAAACAATTATGAACTATTTCTAGTAGACGTTTGTCTAGGTCTCCCAACATCATTTGTCCAATTTAAACCTTAGAAACAAGTATAAACTATTTCTAGTGAACATGACAATGAAGGCATCGTCAAAGACGCTTCACTCTTTTTTAGTTGGTGGAACAAAAATCGTTCTTGGACCAGTCCCAAACCAATATGGCTGATTAGGATGGATTGGTTCTTTATTTAAACAGTATGATAGGTTTGACATTGTTTATTGTGGTGGGGGGTTATGTTGTTGTATCTCAGAAGATCGTTGTGTATTAGATCGATAGATGTGTCATTACCGGGATATTTGTTTTGCCACTGTAATTATAAAAGTACACATATACTCGCTCTGCTTTGGTCCTAGAATCACAATTTTATGTCATTTCAAATTTGTGCTCATTTAACAAACAAAATAAGAACATGTTTGGACTTTAATACAGGAATGTGCAGCTGCTTTTGTGTTCTTTAAAAGCCGTTATGCTGCTCTTACGGTTGCTCAAAGTCTTCAAACATCAAATCCTATGCTATGGGTCACAGACCTAGCTCCTGAACCACAGGATGTTTACTGGTCCAACCTTTGCATACCATACAAGCAACTTTGGATCCGTAAGATAACTACATTTGCGGCTTCTGTCACCTTTGTCCTTGTATTCCTTATCCCTGTCACATTCGCCCAAGGATTGACGCAACTGGACAAGCTTGAGAAAATGTTCCCTTTTCTCACAGGAATGCNAAAATCTAAAATATACATTTTAAATTAAAATGATTAGTAAAATTAGATCTTATTTATTATTTGATAGCTTTACCTTTTTCTCCTAACAGCAACAGGAAAGGTAGAATCATGCTTATTATTTATTTTCACTTCAAGTTTTAGATGATATTGTGTGAATAGTTAATGATTTCAATCAGGAATATTCCTACAAACTGCTTACTTATTGATTGCATTTATTCTTTTGCTTGATGTCAGGCTTTGGGCTCATTGTCTCGCATTATAAATCATAACATTAACAGCTTGTACTCTTCTTTACATTGTAAGGAGTTGTGACTAGCGACATTAAATCGCAAGATTAATTTCTTTATCTGTTTTCAGAGTGAACTATGCTTTACTTTTCAAATATTTAAATATTGACTAATGAAGTGGAAATAATATTCAGGAATACAAAAGCATTACTAATTTGCGGCTACTACATATTACCTCATCGCAGCCAAATCCTAGTCATTTTGCAATTCTTGTCAGAGGAATACCTTGGTCTTCAGATCAATCATACTGCGAAACAGTGAAAAAGTTTTTTTCATTCTATCACCCCTCAACATATTTGTCGCACCAAATTGTGTATAAGTCTGGTTCAGTCCAGAAACTGAAGGTTTGTCTCTTTTTTAATTTTTGCTATTTTTATGGTGTTTACAAAATCTACATTAATATTTCTGGAGTTTTGTGAGAATGCCATTTTAGTAGTAAAGGGAAAGTTTGATAAAGGGAAAATGGGAGAAAAAAGTACTTATACAGTTGATCACTTCTAGTTCTATTGGCTTAATACTAGTGCTCCTCGTAAACTTACGATTAGGATTGTTTTCCCGCACATAATTGAATGAATACAAGTGTTTTTCTAGAACTTCACCACAAATAGTAGTCTACTTATATATTTTAGATCCTTCTAGGTACTACTCTAGGCTTACATTATAAAGAGATATTTTTAGAATATGTCTTTTGAATATTCTAAACATATATAGAAATTGGGCTTTTTATTATGAAAACTAAGGTCCAAAATCAAGTTCATATTCCAAAATCATGGGTTGTCACATATTCTAGTAATGTGTCCTTTCTCGCAATGCACTCTAATGTAGTAGCAGTGCGTATCAATGTTCTTACATCATGGTAAACTGAAATGAGTTTTGTGACAAAAGATACAGTTGACTTGTTGTCCATCAAAATATTGGTTTACTCTTCTTGTGATGAACTCAACTCCTTTACGAGATTTTGCATCTAAATTGCATGACAAACACACGAGGTAGCAACCACATACTACAATTCACATGTGGTAAGAGTAATGATGATCGATTACTTCTTTTGACATCCATGTGAAGATAATGTCTCCCATGTAAAGCACAAAGCCAATTTTCCTCTTGTGATCATCCATATCTCTTCTCCAATAACTGATCAGTGCATAAAAGAAGCCTGTAATCATTAGAGAATAGTACAAGCCAGAATTTATTGTTCCTTTATCCTCTTTTGTCGTGTTATAGTTGGTTGTTCGATCCTTTATGTAACGTAAGGTTCAACTTAAGTTCTTGAAAAGTGTGGGATCCACTCTATTATGTATCTTTAGCTTCATTTCACATTCTGTTGGTGTATCGACCAAACTACTGTCATCTATCTTGTGCTTTTTAATCGTCTCCTTGCATAGCTTTTATGAGTAATGAAAATGTCTTTGTTTTTTTGTTGCTTTACTTCAAACTCTTTTGTCACTTTTGCATAGCTTTCTTGAGTGATACATACAGATGTCTCTGTTTTCTTACTTTACTTCAAACTCTTCTGCATCTCTTTCTTAAATTTATTGAATGTGTTTGGATTGCTACGTTTAAAGATAAAATTATCTACATTGAACCACACAATTAAAACATCATTATTTTGATCTTATATAAATTGCTTCAAATATCTTCTCAAAATATAGTCATCTAATCCTTGTTAGACTGAAAAAAAGAACCTTGTCTCTCTGTCTGGGGTCTTTCAACCTATATCCCTTTGAGTTTGAGAGAGATTATCCTCATTTTTGGTTCAATGTGGTCTCTCATAACTATCTCCTGAACATCTTATGCACCAAGAAGAGTCTTCATCTTATAACGACCCAATCGTCAATAGTTGTTCTTGTTGAGAATTGGGACTAGGAATGGAACCATGATGCTACATGTCATCTCTTTAGATAGGGTCTTCAAGCTCTAATGTCAATTTGTTGAAATGATATTTTAGTAATGAAGGGAATATTTGAAGAATGTGAAGACTAGAATTTTGGATAGAATATTTTAGTCATATTTGATCACTTCAAGGTTTTGTGGACTTGACACAAACTCTAGGACAACCACCCTATTTATACTAGTGGTTCCTGATAAACCTGTAGTCAGGATTTTGCCAACACGTACTTAATCTAACAAGTGCCTTTCTAGACGTTCTCCACAAGTACTAGCATATCTACATACTACCCTAAAATGATATCCTAAAGAGATCCTTTGTAGAACATGCTTCTAAAATGTCTCTCTAGAACATGTTAAGCATTCTTAGGATTTTAGGCTTTTTGTTAAGACAACTAAGGCCCAAAATCAAGTTTATATTTCAACAGTTTTTTTTCTCTATTTTAATGTCATACATAAATATATTCATAACAGTCAATGCTAGTCAAGAATTCCATTATTTTGTTCAAGGTGAATTAACCTGCATCAAGGCTTATGGAAATAAGTTTCTGTTTTTCTTTAATTTTGGAATTCATGCTTTGCAATTTATCTGCTTATTTGGTTGAACTTTTTCCTGTACTTCTTTTTCTTAATGTTTCAAATCCTAGGAACTTTTAGTTGAGACGGGTTTGCTTTCTTTTCAATATTTTGATATACGCCTCTTTTTGCATTTTGATGTCCATTTTGAGATGATAAAAATATCATCAAAGCCTTTCAAGGCTATCCAATACAGAAGTCGTTATAAATTTATGCATAAAATTATCAGGAATAAACTCTTTCAAGAGTTTAAGCTATTGGATTAAGACTTATGAATGATCTTATATTTAAGGTGCCCCCATCAAACCAAGAGTCCTGGAAGTGGAACTACTAAAATTCTATTTTTGTTTTGAAGAATTGAAGAAGCAATTGTGGACACATGGTCATTGTTTCTATAGTATTATGACCAATGCTCTAAAAAACTCAAGTTATTAAATGAAGGCTTATAAATAGTTTTCGTGGTCCGAATTATTGAATGCTTTTCATGGTCATATTTACCTGTGGCATGCTTGAGTTCCTGAATTTTATCATGGTCATAATTATTGAATTTCATTTTTACGAAGTTAGTGGGATTTCTTAATATCTATGACATCTTTCCCTATTTCCCTATTTGACGGGGTAATTAGGCATTTATTTATGATTCAAGAAGTACAAGTGCGAAATATATATCACTTGTGGCCATGGCTTGTTATATATCACTTGTGGTCTTAAGAATCTTTCAAAAATAATATAAGCTTTTCAAACATTCTTATCTCTGTTGACATTACCGTTGTTTAAACTTTTGTTTTTTTTAATCTTTTTCTGCTAGGATGATGCAGAATATATGTGTAAAATGCTCAGTTCTGGTTGTGGTTCAATGGAACAGACGTGTAAGCCAAGTTTTGCGCAATGTTACTTTTGTGGAGGATCCACTAATTCTTTTAAGATTATTTCTAATGAAACTGATAGTATACACGGAAGAACAGGCTACTCTGACGTGCATTTAAATGCAAGAAAAAAGGTCAATTTCTGGCTGATTTGATTTATATAATTACAATATTAATGTGTTAAGGCGTTTCATTTTTGTGATCTAGTGAACTCCCTTGATAAGAATTTTCTTGATCTAATATGAACATGTGAAACCTCTTTAAACTCTATTTGATTTTTAATGATTCACTTATTATTTTCTCTTCTGCGGCACTGTCCAATTTAAACCTCTGAAACAATTATGAACTATTTCTAGTAGACGTTTGTCTAGGTCTCCCAACATCATTTGTCCAATTTAAACCTTAGAAACAAGTATAAACTATTTCTAGTGAACATGACAATGAAGGCATCGTCAAAGACGCTTCACTCTTTTTTAGTTGGTGGAACAANTCACTTGTGGCCATGGCTTGTTATATATCACTTGTGGTCTTAAGAATCTTTCAAAAATAATATAAGCTTTTCAAACATTCTTATCTCTGTTGACATTACCGTTGTTTAAACTTTTGTTTTTTTTAATCTTTTTCTGCTAGGATGATGCAGAATATATGTGTAAAATGCTCAGTTCTGGTTGTGGTTCAATGGAACAGACGTGTAAGCCAAGTTTTGCGCAATGTTACTTTTGTGGAGGATCCACTAATTCTTTTAAGATTATTTCTAATGAAACTGATAGTATACACGGAAGAACAGGCTACTCTGACGTGCATTTAAATGCAAGAAAAAAGGTCAATTTCTGGCTGATTTGATTTATATAATTACAATATTAATGTGTTAAGGCGTTTCATTTTTGTGATCTAGTGAACTCCCTTGATAAGAATTTTCTTGATCTAATATGAACATGTGAAACCTCTTTAAACTCTATTTGATTTTTAATGATTCACTTATTATTTTCTCTTCTGCCGCACCGTCCAATTTAAACCTCTGAAACAATTATGAACTATTTCTAGTAGACGTTTGTCTAGGTCTCCCAACATCATTTGTCCAATTTAAACCTTAGAAACAAGTATAAACTATTTCTAGTGAACATGACAATGAAGGCATCGTCAAAGACGCTTCACTCTTTTTTAGTTGGTGGAACAAAAATCGTTCTTGGACCAGTCCCAAACCAATATGGCTGATTAGGATGGATTGGTTCTTTATTTAAACAGTATGATAGGTTTGACATTGTTTATTGTGGTGGGGGGTTATGTTGTTGTATCTCAGAAGATCGTTGTGTATTAGATCGATAGATGTGTCATTACCGGGATATTTGTTTTGCCACTGTAATTATAAAAGTACACATATACTCGCTCTGCTTTGGTCCTAGAATCACAATTTTATGTCATTTCAAATTTGTGCTCATTTAACAAACAAAATAAGAACATGTTTGGACTTTAATACAGGAATGTGCAGCTGCTTTTGTGTTCTTTAAAAGCCGTTATGCTGCTCTTACGGTTGCTCAAAGTCTTCAAACATCAAATCCTATGCTATGGGTCACAGACCTAGCTCCTGAACCACAGGATGTTTACTGGTCCAACCTTTGCATACCATACAAGCAACTTTGGATCCGTAAGATAACTACATTTGCGGCTTCTGTCACCTTTGTCCTTGTATTCCTTATCCCTGTCACATTCGCCCAAGGATTGACGCAACTGGACAAGCTTGAGAAAATGTTCCCTTTTCTCACAGGAATGCTTCAAAAGTAAGTTGTATTTACACATCAGACAACATTTTCACAATATTTATGGATTAGAATTTGGTAACAAATAATTATGCATGAAAAGTTAAATGTTGAACTTCATTTAAGAAACCTTCTCTCTGAGCAACAAAGGTGCATTATATAAGAATCCATATATGATCAAAGGCCTGCCTCAAGTATTAGAATCCATGTATGATCAAAGGCCTACCACAATTACTGAATTATCATATGCTCGATTACTCTACAAATTACAGTGTGAAGCCACTGATTCGCAATATGCATCAATAAATTATGATGTAGAAGAATTTGTTCAAAGCTAGTAGATCTTCAACAAAAGCCTTTAAGAAGAAATACAAAGCTGAATTCTTGGTAGAAATGTTTTCATTTAGAATGATCAACTCAACTGGTTCACTATCTTGAAGAGTGGTTAATGAGTAACCCCACTTATTGGCTTAACTATTTAATAGTCAAATCTTTAAGTAAAAACTTTTTTACCAAACGAAGAATTCATTTTTGTAAGTTCTCCTAGATTTTATGTCTTTCTATTGAGCTTATTAGTTAGTACCATCTGCTCTGTTTGTTTTCTGACCTGGTGTTTGTGTATTTGAATACTTGTTCAAGTTGCTTATTATTTGTCCTTCTACTTCACCTAATTTCCGTTTATAACTTCACACGTATACCCTTTTATTGCTGATAAAAGATTAATTCATTAAGTCAGAAAATAATTACAACGAGAAGGGTGGATGGATGAAAGGATACTCACTGGCATAAAAACAAAACATTAAACAACAGTAAAATTTGTAAACTAACGCAGCAAAGGTACCCAATCTCTCCTGTATCTGCTACGGAAATCTCATTCAAAGACCCAATTTCTTTACAGCAAATAAAAGCCAAGTATGTAATCTTATTGAAAATCGACAGACACAGTGCCATATGTATCTCATTTCAAATACACGAGTTACACATAAAGAATGTCAGAACATTGTTTTTCCGTAACGGGGATTATTATAAATTGTAGTTGATGATTATTTGTGCGTAGGATGTGAAGGTTAGCTTGGTAAATTAATTCTTAAGCCGTTTTAAAAATTATTATATATTGAGCAAGTATTTGTTTTGCAGGAAATTTGTGATTCAGCTGGTGACTGGTTACTTACCAAGTGTGATTTTGGTTTTATTTTTATATGTTGTTCCACCAGTGGTGATGCTATTTTCAACAATGGAGGGATGTGTTTCTCGTAGTGAAAGGAAGAAAAGCGCATGCTCCCAAGTTTTGTACTTCACAATTTGGAATGTTTTTTTTGTAAATGTTTTTGCCGGGTCTGTTATCAGCCAACTCGCAGTATTTAGTAGTCTAACAGAATTACCTGCCCAACTTGCCAAGGCTGTTCCTGCGCAGGTGATATGCCCATACTTACTTGGCAAATGCCTATTTAAAATTGCGTATCCCTTGTGTGGACTTCACTTGCATAATTTTTTTTTGGCATCGCTAAACTAAGTGTTTTTTTCCCTTCAGTTTTTTGGAACAATGAATTAGTAATTCTTCCATGATTAGTTCTTCACTTTAATGTGACATTTTCATGTCATACAGGCTACCTACTTCACAACATATGTTTTATCATCTGGTTGGGCAAGTTTGGCATTTGAAATTATGCAACTCTTTCCGCTTTTTTGCAATCTGTTCCAAAGATTCATACTTGGGTATAATGAGGATACAATGAATGGCTTCCTAACTTTTCCATACCATACAGAAGTTCCAAGGATCTTGCTGTTTGGATTCCTTGGGTTCACCTGTTCTATTCTGGCACCCCTAATATTGCCCTTCTTGTTGTTCTACTTTGTACTGGCATACGTCGTTTACCGAAACCAGGTTAGTACTTCTTTCATGTTTGTTCCTTTTAATTTGATTCATCGTGAAGTTAAATTGCGTTGATGCTTTTATATATGTATACACATTTACCTTTACGGGCATTGTATATTTGTTTTAAGGTGGCTTAGTGGTAAAGTTGTAAGGGAGGGCAAGTTTGGCATTTGAAATTATGCAACACTTGAGAGTTATAAGATTGGTTTGATGGGTTTGGGAGGGAGGGTGAATGAAGTTGTCGATTCAACTCCTTTTACCAATAAAATACTAACAAATTTTGGACATTTGATAGATTTGAATCCGTTCCCAACTTGACATTTTCATGTGGTGACAATTTTCGAGCAATTTTATATTGTGAGATTTATGCAATTAAATATTATGGGATAATACGAGTTCAGGGGTCAGAAATCCACAATTTTGGTGTCGCCTTGTTTATCGAGTAAAATTTATAAGGTTGAATGCGTTTTCGTTTACCATGGTTTAGTGCGATATCAATGCATCACTCGAGGTTTTATTCTGACATTTTGTAGTTTACCTTTTGGAAGCAGCAGCTATTTCCCCGTCCATGTTTTCACGGTATAAGGTTTAGCAGGGGTATGAATGGATTAAACCACCTCTTTTTGTGATGAAATGCCTCAAAATAGCATTGTTGCACGAGGTATAATGAAAGGAATATATATTGTGGTTACGAGGCTGAAACAAACCATAGGACAGCTGACATAGTTCAAACCAAGGTTCGCGAAATTGAATCGGGCTACAAGGTGGAAATAGGAATATAATTTGAAGGGATTGTTGGCATAAGAGAAGATCTGGAACTCAAGTGAATGCTTATGGCTTGTATGTAGATCTGATTCCCTTTGGACTATGAGAACAGATAGACTAGTCGCCCGAAGACATCAGTCGGATTGAGAATACAATCGTAGAATACAATCGTAGATCATGTCCGCAACTTTAGAAATAAGAAACTTTTTTGAGTATGGTTTGATTAATTGATTGGAAAGATGGATTTAGAATTTGATTATCTTGTTTACTGTGTGTGGCAGTTTCTTCACTTTAATCCACCTTTAGCAGTTTCGTAGTTAAAAATTTTCACTCTACCTTGTGTGACATCATGACATGCGTGAACTTTTAATGTTTAGTAGTAAATTTTTATGATGATAGAGAAAAAGGTTGGACTTAACACTAGCATTTTCAGATTCTGAATGTATATATTAAAAAATATGATAGCGGGGGACAGTTATGGCCCATTGCTCACAACACAACGGTCCTTTCGTTGCTGGTCGCTCAAGTTATTGCACTTGGGGTGTTTGGAATAAAACAGTCACCAGTTGCATCAGGGTTTACCTTTCCATTACTGATCTGCACTGTACTATTTCACCAATATTGTAGGCAACGATTTCTGCCAATATTTAAGAACAATGCAACACAGGTGCTTTCACTTAATTACCCTTACAATTCCTCTCCCACTCTATTCATTCCTTTGTAAGACCACTTCACTTCTTGTTTGTTTTAGGTTCTTATCGACATGGATAGGAGAGATGAGCGTTGTGGGAGAATGGAACAGATTTATGAACAGCTGAGTTCAGCGTATTGCCAGTTTTCTAGTTCTGATCAATCCGACTGTTTCAGCACTCATCAAGGGGAAAGAGAAGATGTTCGAACGCCGCAAGATATGGAGAAAGGTTTGCTTCCATATCCAGTGGAGGTTTTTCAATTTCTATCTGAATTTAAGGATATGATTTGATATATATTTTTCTTGTTTTTATTTTTCAGCCAACGAAATGAGAGAAGATATATCATGGCCACCAGTTATTCATAGTTTCGATAAGCCGGTAAAAGGGGGGAAGTAATTTTAGTTTTTACACCCGCAGATGTTGTAAGAATCGTGGTGTCCCCTAAAAGGGATGGAGCATCATGAATCAACAATTTTGATACCTGCATAGAAAACAGGATTTGGATTATCCCTGAAAAGTTCAGTTGTGCAACACACACTCTCAATTCTGACTGAAAAATACAAAAGCTATATTTTGTTTAGTCATAAATGTGCACTTCATCTCTTTCCTCCTTACTATTCTGGTTTAGGGTTTAGCTTCACATATGAAATTTTATTTTTAAATCAAGAAAAATTAAAATTAAAATTAAAAGTAAAATAAAAAAATTATAAATTAACGTATGACATACAATGTTTATTATTCTTTAGTTATTTAAACAATGTTAGAAAAATAATTAAATTGATGAAAATTGGGATTTTGTGGAATAAAAAACAATATTAGTACTAAATTCACAAAACAGGGATTAAATTAATATTTTAACCAGTATTTTAATTTTGAGAATAAATTCAAACTAACAATGATTTACGAATAAGATTTTTATTTTATTTTACTCATCTTTTTTATATGCTGTAACACTTAAGGCTAACTATCACTTTTTAACATCCATATGTAATTTTGGTAATATCTAATAGAATTTTTTCATGTTGATGTTTTCCTTATATAGGAATAAGAAAAACAGTTGAAAGATGCAAGCTTTAAAGTCATCATTTGTCAAAACTTTACGAGAGTACCATAACTTTTTATTGACATTCTCTAACTTGTGATATGTAGAGAGTATTGTGTCTTTACAAATATCCTTATATCACACTACCAAGGCTAAAAGGAACTTCTGCATGTCTATAATTGCTATTTGTACCAATATCTCCTTAACATAGTCACTGTAGACTAATTGCAACATAAAAAGATATTACGAAGAGTATCAGAAAACTCCTTTTTTTTTTCACTAAACATTTTCCAAATTAACTCTTAACACTCACGACACATTTAAATTGAGACCTTGTACTCTCCAAACGCTAACAGCTACAAACCAAAGAAAAACAATAAATCTTCACCATTGTTATAAAAGAGAAGGAGTTAATGTTATCATTTGGAAGCTTTGAGAGTAAAAGAACCAAAAAGCCCAACAACAATTATCAGAGTAGGAAAATCAATGCTTTCCAACAACAATTATCACACTTCGTGGAGAGAGTACTGTATAAAATTGTGCACTGGTATGAAATTTGCAGAAAAGAAGAAAGAGAATAACATGTTATCCAATCATATGATGTTTTTGATTTAAAAAGTTTCATCATATCTAGTGATCGAGTCATGTCATAAAAATATTTTTACACAGATAATATACGTTACATAAACTAAAAGAAAAAAAGAAAGAAAGAACTAAATATCAACACATGACTCAAGGTGGAAAAGAATGAATGGGGATTCTAAGATAAGATATATTATTTTTGGCTCATTTGACACACAAATACAGTGGGCCAATGTCGGCTATGATTTTCTCGGAAACGGTATTAAAAAATGTCTGCAGCGATTCTGATGCAACGTTGTAAGAAATGCAATTAACGAACAAAACATGTTTGTCTGGTCGAAGGGCGGGACTGAAATTTGAGAAGTATACATGTTAGTGAGTGTCATTATCAGAGAATAAAGAAAGAAGGGTATTCCAAATTCGAATTGATTATATGATAGGATTTAAATTTGCTTAGGATTCAGAATCCAGATAGAAGGGGACTTGTTATTATAAAAACGATGACAGATGAATTATGATATAAGAGAAGTCGTCGTTTGGCTCTTGTCAGGGTTAGGGCATGCCCTTCCTATATGGCCTCAATCACGGATCTTTGCTAATTACTTTTGTTTTCTTCTTCAATTCTTAATTATTATATTTCTGTAAAGTATCAGCTAACTCAATACTCAAGTTTTTAATTCCTTGTTTTTATGTTCTGGGATTGTTCTTTCCTGTTTCTTCTGCCTTTGGGATATTCCTTTTTACTTTACAGAGCATAATTATTCATATTTATGAACTTTCTTTAAATAATTATTACTCATTTCATATAATATAGCTATTAAAAGCATGTGTTTTTTGTACCTTATTTCTAGAATCACCATAACTACTTTCGTTAAACTTTGTTGCATAGATAATGATGATTTTTCGAAATTTAGAAATATTACGTGATTATTGAAGGAATCTATATTAATGGATAAGTAAATGGGACCTAAGTTTGAAATGGTTGACAAAATCATTTGGTAGCCAGTTTCATGTCAACCAATTCTAACAAATGATGACCATTACTTAGCAGACAGTATCCATAGTCATTACAACTGTAAACAACTACATATTTATGCACACGCAGTGGCCAAGACAAATATGAGCTACTACATGACAATGACTGCTTTGAACTTTTGAGTAAAAAATGGTATAGCGGTTGGTCCATACACTAAATATTTTGTATTGGATGTGATGATAACCACTATCATCTCTATGTTTCATCTTTTCTTTGTTTTTCACACTTAGCTCAAAAGATTGTGAGTAGCCAGAATATATGTGAAAGTCACCTACAGGAGGTCTACAATATTCTGCGTCAAGATCGATGCTGTGATCAAAACAAACGACTTTTTTCAATCTTTTGGAAGAATGTCAAAATCCCACATCGGTTGAATATTTATATAAAGGTTTTTCTTAGATATGAATTCTCCCTTCTTAAAATAACTTTTGAAATTTAGTAATAAGAACTCAAAAGCATTAAAATTAAAACAGTATATTGGTAGAACATAATAATAAGTCACACATTAATATATTATTCTAAGATGTTATTTTAGTTTTGTTTTTTCACCTGTTTTGTACAACATGTAATAACTATTTTGATTTTGGCATATACATGCATTTCAATCTTTCAAACTATGATTATTTGACTAATCTTCTGAAACTTGCTGCATTCTTCTACATCCACATATAATTATACAACGCCACTTCTTGGTGAAAATATAAGATATTGAAACTTATTATATATGTTTTTGTGGTTAACAACCATATCAAATGTCCAAATCTTGACTATAACTCACTTTTTATTGTTTATAATAAAACCAGTATATATATATATATATATATAATAAGTATTTGTTGTTTTAAACTAGTATGGAGTATTAGAAAATACTTATTTGAACAAATCTTTCTTATAAGTTTTTAGAAAAGTAAGAAAAAAAAATGAAATAAAATTTTCAAAAAATTAAAATCAAATTCTGAATTATTTGATAAGAACTCTTTCAAACAGTTTTTTACATTTTTTTTAACTTGTAACTTAAGTTAATTTCTTTATCTTTTCTTCTAAAATTATGGATGTTAAGAAACTTATCCAAAATATTAATTAGAAGATATTTTGGTAAACTTTGCCTTGTTACATGATAGGCTGAACTTTTTGCTGCTAGATAGGTATTCATTTCGAAAAGAATATTATTACTGATAGAAGCAGAATGACGATAATAGGTTAACTTCTATGCACAACCAATTAATTATTTGTTCAGTGACACAAAGATTCAAGTTACAGCAACAGCAACAGCTTGAGACTACTCACCAAAGTTTCACTCACACAAGCATAGTTATCAATCTTTCAACAATTTATTTCTATAAAATGGCATGAAGTAAACTCACAGGTTCTGCTAGAGTCAGCGAGTAAGCTTTTGATTGGATTTTTATAATCAAAATGACAGCACCAAAGTCATGTTTGGGTTATGATTATACAGAGAAAGGGAATTCTAGAAAGCAAATAGGGTTTGACATAGCCTTCCTATTTTGCTTCCATCTTCTTCCTCTTGTCACAAGGACCTTCCGACCACCTTCGACCTTGTCTTTCACCTTCTTCGTTCAATTTCCTTGCTGACTATGACTTGAGTATATGTTGAAGTTGGATGTTTGAAGACTGACTAATTTTCTTGCAGCTCTCCCTGATTCTTTTTCTTCATTTCTTCCTTCTTTTTACACGCTTTTAACTTCTGCCTTTTGTTCAAGGTGTTAGCTTCATCCCTTCCCTTTAATCTCCATGCTTTTGTTTATAAGTTGAAACAATTTTAATTTCCAAAGTAATAGCTTCTCGTTCAGTCCTTTAGTCTACATAATCCTTACTATTTATGATTGGAGTATGTTGTGCATTTTAATTATCATTTTGATGATGGTCTAACACATTATTTTCACAGCAACAACACCAATAACTCACGTATATATTCTGCTTAAATTCAAATTTACATGAGTGAAATTAACAATTAACTTTCTACACTTCTTGTACAACCCTACTTAATTACTTATTTTTTTAGGTTTAGCATTTTATTTTATTAGACATTCTGAATTTGACAACATTGTCCATAGGAAAAAGATTCTTTAGTATTATTTTACTATCATTTGATAATTTTTATAAAAGTAAAATGATTTTAACAAAAGATAATTTTGTATTTTTAAAGAAAATGAAAATGAAGAGTAATAAAAAATAAATTCTAATATGACCTTGCACATAACTATTATGTTTATATAGAATCTAAGTTTAACTATACAAAAAATTCACATCACTCTTAATCTAAAATTTTAAAATAATAAATTAACGATTCAAAGAATCTTCAACTTTATATAGTTGTTTTACATTTCTCTTAATATATAGTGAAATTCTAATACAGTGAAATTCTAACAATAACATAGATAATATAACATGTGAAATTCTAACATAAACATAGATAATAGAACATGTGAGTTAGTATGTGTATAAGTTACTTATCCATAGCACAATATATTATGCTAAACAGAAATGAACTTTTCAGCATGAGTCGTTTGACCAAAGAACACCTTGCATTTAAGAGTCACATAAGTCTTCACCTACCATGTTATCATGGGATGCTGCAACCGTCCCTAGTGCTCCTTCGAATTTAATTTTATCTTCTGCAGGCATGCCTACGAATAAATAAGTAAATAAATAAAGAAAAATGTAAAAATAAAGCATTACGTTCATGCCAGTAATAGTAAAGTTTTTCTGACAAAATGCTTATCTTCTGCTGCAATCGCAGTAACTGAAAAGGAAATGATTCCTTTGTTTGTCAGCTTAAGAATTGCATTCAGTAC